TTTATTTGGCGCTCTAAGTTTGTTGATTATAACACATTTTAACGCTATTTTAATTTGTTTTGTAGCTCTTTATATGCGCTACACTATATTTTTTTGTAGCTCTATCTAGTTTGTTGTATCTATACATTCTGACTATAAACTATTACCTTCAACAATATATATTAAATATTTCTTCTATATAAAAATAAAATCCATAAAATACATAACAAGTCTTACAAACTCTAATCCAAACCAAATCTTAAATAAAAACATCAAGTACTACTACAACTACAACAAGAATGCTAATCAAAAGGGTTTATGAGGTAAAGAACAAAGAGAAACAAACATCTTCCTCATTTTACTTGCACTTCTAACTTGCAATTGCTTGAACAAGTTTCCTTCCTTTCTGCATCACAAATTAAACATAGACAACAACAATTGAACAAATCTAAAGTGCCTCCATAGAATTATTAATACATCAAATTAGAGAACACTTACATAAATTTTTGGAATGCTTGGCAGTTTGTCCTGCCACTTATGGGTCCAGAGAAGAAGCTAATGCCTAAAAAAAAATAAAACATTATGTTTCTGTGTTCTGTATACAACAAGGATATATATAAGAACCTGAACTTCGAACACCATGATTGCAAGCACACTTTTGATGTTAGTTATCTCGTCCTTCTGTGTTTTAAGAAGCAAAAAGACATTCAAAAGTAGTTACACTTATTGTCATTCCAATTTGCTAACAAACAAACAAAAAAGTATTTGCAATCATTCATGACTAAGTGTAACTATTTTTGATAAAAACGCTCAAGATATGACCACCAAATATTCATGTGGTGGACAAAGATCAGATCATGTTCACCATCTAAACACAGCATATGTGGCTTATAAACTGATCTATGTAGGACAAAAAAAAAAAGCAATTACCATACACAACCTAAGTCCATGTCAAAAAGAAGTAGAACCAATTAAGATGTTAGAAAAGATGAAATAACCTGATTAATACTTCCTTGTTCTCTGTTCCATCAAAGCCATTCAAAAAGAATCCAGAATTTCATAAAGAGAAAATCATCAAAAATAAGCACTAAAACTTATATAGAATTTTAAGTTACATCCACTTCATTTCAGAAAAAGGAAAAGCCATGTGCATACCTTTAAGAGCAACTACTTCCTTGCCTACCGTGGAAATTTCGTCATGAAGAAGATCAATCCTTGCCTGAAAAAAGAACCTTCAATCATCTTTTTTCACACAGAACACTGACGGTGATAGGTAACAGTCTACACAAGGTCATCGACTAAATTCATAGATGGATACGGAGAAGTTATGTTAACTTTTCTTCAACTTACCTTTGTAAAGAATTTATGTGCATGACTTCTGATTTGAACAGCAGTCTTGGTTCCAATATGTTCTGCAGACAAAACAAAAAAGAAGAAAGCAAGAAGAAGAGAGAATCTCCCAATCAAGAGGAGATAAAAAAAACAAAACATCTCTTAGTTAAATTAAGCATTACAAAAGGTAAATTTTTGTTTCGACCTTCTATTCGTTGCCAAGCTCTTCCATAAAGCTTTAAGGCTTCTTGAAACCTATCATGCTCGTCATCGGTCCACCATTCTCGCTGCTTTGTTACCGTATATGGCTTTCTTGTCTACAAATTCACAACAAACAAAATCTGAAATCTGAACTCACAAAAAAAAAAAAAAACTCCATTCGTAACTTAAGCAACAATATCATTACCTTAGTTAATAATTCTTCTGCAGATGTATTTGTATCCATAGCAGCTTATTTCCGCTGCTTCAAATCCTCACTAATATAATAAAGAAACCATCTTTGATCTCCCCAAACATCACATAAAATTTCAAAATCAGTAAACTAATCACTTGCTTTCTAAATCAATCTTGATTCGTATGATTATATAAAACTTATCCAGCAACCAAAACAGAGATTTTGAGATGTAACATGAACCCTAGAAATTGCTGAGAATGTGAAAAAGAAACATACCCTTGAGAGTAGCCATGGAGGAGCAAAACATACAATCCGATATGGAAACTAGATCAACTCACCGGAAAACTCGCCGGAGAAGACATCTTTACCGTACAGTCCAGATCTGAGACTATCCATGGTTCCATGCTTCAAATCCACAGCTAGCTTCATTGTAGTAAACGTAAATCAAGAGTGAGGTGGATCGAAAGTAAAAAGGGAGAAAGGAGAGCAAAAGCAATGGCGAATCCAAATCCGATTGAGATCGAGAATTTTATCAAGCTT